CCACTTCATTTGTGATAGGCCACCGCAGACGCCCTTGTACCTTCTAAGCAATCATTCAGTTGGAGGAAAAGACAGAATGGCCACACCCTAAAGAATGTGTTCCGTGAGTAGCAGAGCTCATTTCCCTGGCTCACTGCTGTCTGCTTTCCGTCGATGATATGTAACCTGGTCAAGTCGAATGAATCGCTAGCCGGACAGGCGTTGACTTATCAATTTTTCCATTCTATGTGCTGCTCTCAAATAAAATTGCCCTCTTTCTGTTTTGTAAATGGCTTCTGCTCGCGGAGCTTCGGTACGATTTCCTTAATGAGTAGAATTATCTGCCGATCGCCAGCCAATTCCTCCTCTATCCCACCGTGCTTATGTCCTGATTAAACAATAATCTACTCGAATAGAGTTCCAGAGATCGCGTCTTCGTCTTCTTTACAATAATCTACTCTTTATTTTTTTACCCTACTCTTAGGGCGGTGACGGATTCGTAGGATGCTACTACGACGCCTACAATATGAAAACTGTTGTTCGTGCAGGCTATCGTCCCGAAGCATCCCTCTCGAATCAACTTGTCCCTATTGATGACGATCCAAAGGTAAGTCCTTCGCACCCTGGTCATTGCCCTGTTGACCAGTGGGGGGAGGGAGGTTGCAAGTTCCCCCACAACCCAGGCAAATCTGAATACATCTCATGTCTTCAAGCCTACGCTCGCTGTCTGAGCTCTGCGTAATGGATGACTGGTAGGCCCAAGAACAGTAAAGGACTCGTGATAATCAGCTTGCTGCATGTCAGTGCTATCTACTTTTTCACCTTAATTATTTTATCGCGCAAATTAGAAGGCATCATCCTCCTAATTTGAGTCTACATAATCAATTGCGGATTTGAATTCCTGTTCATGGTGATCATAGAACCACTGCTAGTAAAATTTCGATATGAGCACTTGTCTTCCCTGTGAACAAGACATGTCGTAGGAGGTAGCAAATTCTTTTCCTCTACTTGACAGTCACTAATTTCAAAAAATGGGGTTACTGAAACTCACCTCGCCAACAAGATTTCGGATACATGCATTTCTGGTGGTCAGGGTCAGGATTGGCAAGATGAAGGCAGAATGAGCTCGAAGCGGTACTGCATAAATGAGACCCCTATTCTCTGTCATCCCGCCCCTCTGCTACGTACACCTTAGTTTGCCTTTGAATATCAGCCTCCATACGGCGGTTCAAAGATCGTATGCAACGCCATCCACCGGGTTCCTCAGGGGGTTGACACAAAATCGGATGATCAGCATGTGAGACAGACTTGCGCCGCGTCTACCACACTCGATATTCTCACCCACTTTGGCCAATGACAAGAAAAAATCAACACAAATAGAGGTGGGCCCAGACTTAGTGGCTGACAAAGTTGAGCAAACCGTCTACGCGTGCCACACACGCGACCTGATCCCAGCAGCACGTGAATAACAGATGCGTGAGACTGCCATCAGGGTCACACTTCAGACTGACTTACAATCCTAAAAAAGGACGTCGTTATGACGTCAGTTAGCCACCACCCAAGTCACAAATTTTGACGTATAGCAATAGGTCCAAATGCGTCAGACTTGCTGTAGCGAGAAACGCGCTGATGTGTTGCGCAGAGAAGGATTCACCAGTGACGCACTGGTGGCGCACTCCCACGCGCTGATGCCAACCAATGAAATACAACCTCGCCTGTGGCTCGTTTTTTTCTAACGTTGACACCACGACCATTGCTATTAGGAGGCTACCGTTCTCTTTCCTCTCTCGTGCACCGGTCGACTGTCCAGACGTGTCAGGCATCAGATGAGGCGATTCGACGTAGTAACTCAAACAGCATGAAGTTTTAGGTCTAAGGCAATAATTGTTGGTTGACGTGGATTGTGCACAGCTCGATCAACGTGTGCAGTGAGTTAACCGGACTCCGGTTTTGGTCCAGTGCCTCTGCGACAGAGCTATTTGGAGCCATTTATGCTAATGCGTTTCATTGACCTAGTGCTTAAAGATGGTGGGTACTCACACTTCTGGAAGTTTTAAGAACGCACTCGTCTGGGGACTTGATTAAATTCAGCTTGCCTTTTCGTAGTTGACTTCACCTTAGCTGGGCTCTAGGAGTGCGCACGTAGTTTGTTATGAGTAAATTGACTTTTCTTATTGGCAAACTGGTAAGTAAGTTGGAATACCATAGGAGAATGACCGCAGAAATAGGACGATCAGTAACACAACATGAAGAAGTACTTTCAAAACATTACTCAACCAATGATTGTCGTTGCAGTGTCAGTGATTACCGATCAGCACGAGGGACCTTCCGGTTTAGGGGAATTGTCGTCAGGGTTTCGCATTTTATGTATCATCTAACCAGGACAAGGCGACAAATTCACAGTGGGAGAGGAAAAGACTTGGACAAACACTTTTTTATTTTGATGTGGTAGGAATGGAAGTGTTCTTAGAGGCGTCCGTGCTCGCATTTCTTTTGTGCTTGGAGTCCGCACGTTTCGCGCATCAGACCTTACCTACTAACACTTGTGGTACCCTGGCTGTCAGGAGAATCTGTGACATTAAGTGCCTCTTTGTATCTCCATTTTGCCAGCCGCTCAAAAACGCAAGCGTACCAACCTCCACTGCAAATGGTTCGTGGTCGGACGTAATCGAATATTGTGCATTTAGCCTGCTGAAGCTGACGCAATTTTCGGATTGAGCCTGAAATTTTTTATTTTCGAACGTTTTCTTTCCAAGTTAGCGCACTAGTTTCTGCGGAGATTAAAAAGCTAAAAATGGAGTACGTAGAACCCTAATTTATTTCCCATGTTACAGCTTCGTAGCTCCTTCTTTTGGTGGTCAGGAGTGCCACGGACTGACGACTGCTACCATTGTTACTAATAACGACAACAAAGTTAGGTTAGTAGTCAAGTTAGTAATTAGTAGTGACCGTGAGTTTGTAAATTCGTGGCAGTTACATCTTATTATAACCGTACTGCCTGTGCGTCTGCGCTACCTTTAAATATTAATGTCTCGTATGATGTATTCCCCAGTGAATCCCAAACACCAGGCCGATGATATTCGAGCCCTCGCCCCTGCTTCCTCTACTGTATTAGACTACTTTTTTCGCAGTTCACCTCCTTGTTGCGGACATCGCTGCGTTTCAGCCTCCTCTCATTGCACTCCTACGCACAGAACTGACTTTTCAGTTCACGTAAGGCAAATCCACAATCACATAACTAACGCCATCTTTTATCTACTTTTCATCCTACAGCTTCTGGTCACGGAGGGCGAAAATCTGGGTGGTGAGTACAGCGACATAAAGAGACAGCTGCAGTGTAGATTTCGCCGTCGGGTGACGCCTTTGCAGCTTTCTGACCGCCTGAAAGACTTAGCTCCACCAAACGCATACTATTTAATGGTCCAGCGTGGAGCCGATCCCCTCGGCTCGGCCTTCGGCAACCTCTATCCTGGAGGCGAGGCTGTGGCAAAGGAGAATGCTATTGTCACCTCGTAAGTCCGTCTACATCGGTTCTTCATATTCTCT